CTGCTGGGCCAGTGGAGCTGGGCCAGGGTCTGTCCAGGCTGGTGGCCATCTGGGCCAGGGTCCATCAGGGTTGGCATCAGTTGTGTTGATGTCCACCCAGATCAGGGTCCATCTGTGGTGGCATCCATCGGACCAGGGTCAATTTGGACCATCCAGGTTGAACTTTCTTCAGCTGGCGTCACCCTCACTCCGAGACTCCCCAGGCTGGTGTCCATTACACTGGTGTCCATCTGGACCAGGGTGCATCCAAGTTGGTGTCCATCATGCTGGTGTCCATCTGGACCAGGATCTCCCCATACTAGTGTCCATCACGCTGGTGTCCATCTGGACCAGGTTCTCCCCAGGCTGGTGTCCATTACACTGGTGTCCATCTGGACCAGGGTGCATCCAAGTTGGTGTCCATCATGCTGGTGTCCATCTGGACCAGGATCTCCCCAGGCTGGTGTCCATCATGCTGATGTCCATCTGGACCAGGGTCCATCCAGACCATCACCCATTGGGCCAACATCCATCTAGACCATGCTCCAACCTTGCCCACACTCATCCAGACCAGGACCAATGAGGCCGGTCCTCACTGCAGAGGTGAGAAGAAGCCACCATCACTCCCAGCACCACCTCACACATCCACCTCCACCAAACTCCCACCAAACCTCCAGCCCCTGGAGATCCTCCAGAGTTTGATGCTCACCTTGAAGCCCCGCCAGGTCTCAATCTCATGGAAGAGCGAGTTGCCAGGACAGTCGGTGTGACCCATCTGCCGGTGACCACGGAGGGTGTAGTTCCGGTGGAGCCGGCCGGTCCGTACGGCGCAGGGCAGGAATCCATCCCGCACCAGGACGATGGTGTCAGGGTCCGGCAAGGTGGTGGAGAAGTCTCCAACATAACCCACGCCGAAGCCTTTGGTGTTGTAGCCTTTGGTGTGGGCACCAACCCAATGCCAACCTCGACCTTGGTAGAGGTACCCATCGGAACCCACCACGAAGCTGCGAGAACCCGATGGGTCAACCGGAGCTGCTCAGAGATGGGTGACGGGGACGGCGGTGGGGTGATGGGGACGTTGGGGGTGGTCTCACCTGTAGCCGATGTCGTCCCAGCCGCGGGTGTCCTGGTGGAAGCGTTGCATGGCGCGCATGGCGCGGGCGCAGGCGGTGAAGGGGCGGCACGGGGCGCTGGGGGTGAAGGTGTGGTGGATGTAGACGGAACCCAACGGAAGGGTCAACGGTTTGGGGGTGCCCCGGTAGGGACGGGCACCCCACATGCAGCGGGGGACGATGGCCGGGCACTCTGTAGGGGAAGGACCGTGGGAAGTTGGGGATGTGGCAGTGTCTCCTTGGGGACATGGAGTATCTGCCTGGCTTGGGGACATCTTGGCTTGGGAGGTGGGAGTGTCCTCCTGGGGTCCCCTCATCTAGGGGATGTGGAGAATCTGCTCAGGGTGTCCCTTGGCTGGGGACATGTGTCCAGGGGACACACCGGTGTCCATCCAGGGGACAAAGCAGTGTCCAGGGACCCATTCTCCAGGGGACATGGTGGTGGCCATCTAGAGGACGTGGTGGTGGCCATCCAGGGACCACCATCTTGGGGACACAGTGGTGTCCCTCCAGGGGACATGGTGTTGTCCATCGAGGGACCACCATCTGAGGGCACACTGGTGTCCATCTAGGGGACTTGGTGGTGGCCAGCCAGGGGCCACCATCTGAGGACATGGTAGTGTCCATCCAGGGGACGTGGTGGTGGCCCTCCAGGGGACATGGTGGTGGCCATCCAGGGGACATGGTGGTGTCCATCCAGCGACCACCATCTGGGGACACCCCAGTGTCCCTCCAGGGGTCATGGTGGTGTCTGATCATGCCAGGCCACATGTCACCAAGTCACCTCTCAGACCTTGCCTCCCCTCCCAGTGCCACCTACACTAGGGTGACACTGGGGACCCCAAGC